GTTAGTAGCCAAGTACTTAACTGCTCGCGCTATGCAGGGACTTCACTTAGCCAATACCCGTTCCTGTTGAGTTGATTCTGACTTATAGCAACCCTATAGGACTAGAACTGCCCCATAGGGTTTCTAGGGCTGTAATCTTCACGGAAGCAGACTGCCACATCTTCCTTGCCTGGAGCGGCTAGTGGGTTCGAACTGCTGACCTTTTGGTTAGCAGCCAAGTGCTTTACCACTGCACCACCAGGGCTCTTTACTTAGTCCATACCAAACCAAATCCATTGCTGTTGAGTTGATTCCAACTCACAGCAACCATATAGACAGAATAGAACTGCCGCGTAGTGTTTCCAGGGAGCAGCTGGTGGATTGGAACTGCTGACCTTTTGTTTAGCAGCTGAGTTCTTAACCACCATGCCCATAGTGAGGGCTAAATTACAATTTCCTGAGTAAATGAATGGACTCTGAAGGACTAGGTGACAAGCAAATTTCCACCTCTTGTAGAAGCAAATTGCTGCTGATATAAGGCTATCACATACCTTTGGGCTTTTGAAAGCCATGTTTCTGTTTGCACGTTTCAGTAGTTTTGGTACCTTTAATTATCTGTAGTGATCCCTCAGATTGGAAAGCAAGAGAAGCAGCTGGGATCTTGGTCCCAACACATCTTAGTCCTCTATCTTCATCAAATTCTTCTTAAAGCCTGTCTAGTATAAAAGGTATGGCCTCTCCCAAAGTGGCCGGCATCTGGGACATTTTTCTGTGGGCTCACTTTGTAGAATCAAGGTGAGCCTGTTTAATAGGATTTTGTCTCTGTTTCCTGGATTATTCTGGGTATGTAGGTTCTAGTGAACCTAGGATGCCTCTGGAGCTGCCTCACTGGCCTAGTTGAGCTAACTATGGCCTGGAAAGTCTGAGGACACCTGCACCTCTTGGAGATCCTCTGAGCTGGAGTCAGTCTGCAATTGGATCCTCATGGCATTTTAAGATAGCATCAATCCCAGGAAGCACTGTGCTCTTCCTCTGTGCCCAACCCAGCGCAGGGAGAATGGATGCATTCATGACTGTAATTCCTGTGGCTTGAGAGGCAGTGTTGAATAGTGGTTATCTCACAGGAGTCAGACTGCCTGGGCTCAAATCCTGATAAATCACATAGTGGCAGTGCAACCTTGGGAGAGTGACTTTTCCTATCTGAGAGATTGCCTACCAACATTGGTCCTGGATTTTTCCCTTCAGGGGCTCAGTTGTATGCACATAAAACCCCTTCCTCACCTGATTTCTGAGACTGTCTTAGTCATCTAGTGCTGCTATAACAGAAATACCACAAGTGGATGGCTTTAACAGAGAGAAGTTTATTTCCTCACAGTAAAGTTGGCTAAAAGTCCAAATTCAGGGCATCAGCTCCAGGGGGTGGCTTTCACTCTCTGTCGGCCTTCTCATCAGTGTTCCCCCGGACTAGGAGCTTCTCGGCACAGGGACCCCGGTCCAAAGGACGCGCTCTGCTCCCGGCACTGCTTTCTTGATGGTATGAGGTCCCCCTGTCTCTCTGCTCACTTCTCTCTTTTATATCCCAAGAGATTGCTTCAGGACACAATCCAGTCTTGTAGACTGAGTCCTGCCTTACCAATACAACTGCCACCCATCCTCCCTCATTAACATCATAGAGGCAAATTTACAACATATAGGAAAATCACACAATACCAGGAATCATGGCCCAGCCAAACTGATACACACATTTTGAGGGACATAATTGAATCCACGACAGAGACCAAAAGGTGTTTCCCATGCTCAAATGAGGGGAAAAGTCACCTGGCAAAGGGTATACTTGGATATTCTCCTTTTCTGACAAACTCTGGTATTCAGGTTTAGCATTGTTTGTAATCGGTGGAGAAGCAACACTACTTCTGGTGAAAGGTGTTTGGCACAATGCGCAGGCCCAGGGGCATGCTGGAAGCACAATGGCCCAAATCTCTAGCAGGGTAGCAGGTGCAGATGCAGGTAAGCAGGATTAGCCTGGAATAAGGCCACAGGTATGACTTTTCATTTTATATTATTTTCTTAGGTTGATTCACAGACTTCTTTTTTCCTTAAGCTAATGTGGTAAGCCATACTGGCAAAATAGTTCAAATGTAACTGAGACCATATGGTGGAATGTTTATCTTCTTATTAGGCAAATACTGTCAATTTAAATAGCAAGTGTCTGTAGTGAACGTACTTTAATGTGAACAAAGAAATAGCTAAAATAACTTTTAAAAAATATAAGGCTGATAACAGTCTTTGGTGTTTATTTTTATTATTTTACCACCATCTAATATCTCTGCCTTAAAAAAAAAGATTGTTTTCACAACCTTTTCAATTCAATGGCAAATTTAAATAAAAACCAACAAATGAAAACAGTTGCGGCTGAGTCTATTAAGGGCTCCATATCCGCACTGGGCTAGAGGCCAACACCCAGTTCTGATAGAACAGCTTCTGTCTGTAACCATTTTTCTGGAGACTGGCACCTGTGGTAAAAAATCTTGCCCTTTAAAATGAATGTGCAAATCTTTAGTTTTTATGACTAAATCTGATATGCTGATGAAACAATGACAACATTGTGTACAAAATGTTTGAATATCTAAAAGAAAAACATGTACTTAAAAAAAAATTATTTGGTTGTTGTTGAGGATATATAGAGCAAAACATACAACAATTCAACCGTTTCAACATGTACAATTCAGTGACATTGATTACATTCTTCGAGTTGTGCAACCATTCTCACCCTCCTTTTCTGAGTTGTTCCTCTCCGGTTAACAAAAAATCACTGCCCCTAAGGATCCTATCTAGTCTTTCAAGCTGCTGTTATCACTTTGATACCATATGGATAGTTCTTAAAAGAGCATAATGCTCAAGGCAGACCTTTTTTTTTTTTTTTAACTAGTTAAGCTAAACTATTGTTCAGTTTGTTTTTTTTTAAAGTTTTTTATTGTACTTTAGATGAAGGTTCACAGGACAAATAGTTTCTCACTGAACAGTCAGTACACATATTGTTTTATGACATTGGTTAACAACCCCACGGCATGTCAACACTCTCCCCTTTTTTTTGGTGAAAATATACATAGCCAAAGTTACACCATTTTGAAAGTTTCTACATGTACAATTCAGTGACATCGATTACATTCTTCCAGTTGTGCTGCTATTCTCACTATCCTTTTCCAAATTATTCTATCACCATTATCTTCAACTCACTGTCCCCTAAGCTTCCCATCAAACCCTTTGAGTTGCTGTTGTCAATTTGATCTCACATAGATAATTCTTT